AATAATGTTTGTTGTAAAGTACAATCTTTAGACCCCTTCTCTAGAACATCCTATTACCACATAACGCACTGGAAGGGTGAATCACTACATGGAGCAGCAGGTCAAGCGGAGATTAGAAGGCCACAACTGGTGGACCTACCAAGCTTCCCCATGATCTTCAGTAAACACAAACTTATGCGAAGGTTTGTGTCTCTAAAAAGCTGGGGTATATAATGTTTTACTAGTCTAAAGAGAGAACATATATATTTTTTTTAATTTAGCATTTCTATTTATTATAAAATGCCTCTTGGGCACTCCACAGATCAGCAGAAACATTTTACATCCACATGTATTAGTATTAAGGACGGGAGTATGACTACTTCCTGATTTCACTAAGTATATGGAAAAAATAAAACTTTAAAATACCACCAAGGAATACATGGAGTTCAAGTTGCAAGTAGGCTTCCTCAGCAAAGGAAAACACATTCATATCAAAAACTACCAAGAAGATATTCAAAATCTCATGTGCAAGTCCGTTCTCAGGAGTGTATATAACATGAAACACCATTACTACTGATAAAGAATGGTTTGTCTACCAATATGGCAGTGCTTATGGAAAAACATATGTACTTCAGATAATTTAAAGTATAAAATTCCATGTCTGTATAGCTGGGATTTACAAGTGCGTTATTTTGAAATTTCTCTTTGAAGATGAGTCTTACCCCTTTTAAGTTGCCAAGTTTCACGTATTTGAATCTAAGAAACTCAGTGCAGCTGAAAAAAAAGAATGAAGTAATGCTCTGAACACTCAAAAGGATTAAAATTTGGTATGATTGAAGTCAACAGCAGCTAACAATCTTCTAAGGCATTTCAGACAGAACAGTTTGTCTCACTTCATAATAACAAACTTGTACATAAGATCCAATCCTGTGAGGCCCATTCAAAAGTACTGGAACACTGGAGTTCTTCAATACATGCTTCTCCAAAAATGTGACATGCATGAAAATAATCCCTTTGAGTACTCTGAATAAATGAGTTTGATATATCATTAAAGACAAGTAATAACACAGTCCCAGAAGAGTGATCAACATCAATAAAAGATAAACGTATGAAGAAGTCATATTATTTGATCTCTATTCCCCTCATAATTTTTAAGTTTCACAATTCTCATAGCAGCAGTGATCAAGACATCAAAACTGCCATCACGTATACAGATAATTTTCAGCTCAGCAACTAAGCCATTCTGCTTTGATGTAAAATGCATCATACATGCCAACTAGAATTGAACCAAGAGGTGCGTAACTTCAAACCAAATTGCGACTGTAAGGTTGCACAACTTACATCAGTCTCTGAGTTCAGAAAGAATCCCTTAGTGACCAGCCCTGGAGAAAGAGGGCTAAGAACTCATTCTGAAGTCTATGCCCAGCAAATCTTCTGAGTTATTTTATTTTTATACATAAAATAAGATGTCAAAAAGAAACCACGTCAGGATGTGAGCTATTCACTGAGCATGGCATAAAACAGGGCTAACAACTCTCAAGAACTGAAAAGGGAGAAACTATCAGCAGTGCTACGTTCAGTAGCAGACCACAGGCAACTCAGAGATATTCTCACAGAGAATTGCTGCTGGTCAGCTGGCACGATGCTCAAGCCATTGCTGAGCAATTGCAATTCAAGCAAGCACATCTTTTTTTTTTTTTCTTTTGTAAGGAAAAATCAAGAAGCTCAAGGAGAAAATAGTAATAATAAAGATCTAACACGGTTTCCTCAACACAGAAAACCCCCTAAAATTCCGCACCATCTAAGGATTTTTGATTTTCCAAATAAGCAGCTTCTTTTTACTTGGAAAAAAAAATATGAAGTAATGTTTTTCATCATTCCAAAGAAAGAAGACAATGGGGGAAAATAAATGAAAAGAGCTACAGACCAAAAACTATTCTTTACCAGTTAAATTGCCAAAAAAATCAAAGTAGGAAAGTGTGAACGATTAACATTTAAGAGCAAACGCTAAACATAACACTGACAAGTTCTTAGAGCAGATTTTTAGCTGCTGAATGAGTCTTTTAAAATACTCAAAAAAAAACCCTCTGGTTATTTATATCAATAAAAGAGCTATTCTTTCTAGAATTTACAGTAACTGTACTGACTATGAAAACCCATTAATTTTACAAGTCTCCCAGTATCTTTAGTTTTACAAATCTCACTTTGTACTACATTCTAGCTACGTTTCATGCTTTTATTTCCTTTTTTTTAGTGGTATTTCTGGCAAAAGTAATCTTACATCTCCTTTTACTACTTCTAAAAACAAAAGCACACCACCACTTATCCATACTCCACAAAAACTTCTGCAAAGTGTCTTTCATCAAATCCAGAGATAGCATTTTCATGCACAATCATTTCTGAATATTAGGTTTTATAATGCAGATATCTTTGAAACCTAAAACAATTAGCACCATCAGTGCAGGAGACAATACGTACAAAGTTTGATTTTCTCTACTGAGATCTACTATGTAGCTCAATAGTGAGCAATACGCAAAAAGTTGTATTTATTACCATGTAATGCTATGTCATGCTAGAAACATGCAGCAGCTTGATCACAGACTTTGACATTCAAGATTACTTACTATTCCTGTGCTTTCTGTACAAAGAGACTTCTGACATAAAGCTTATTTATATAACAAATCAGTAGGGCTTCATTCAATTGCAAATACATTCCAATAATCTCCATTGAGCCAAATATATCTATCAAGTTCCTTCGCAGTGCAGTTGTGCAACAGTCAGACATTCTGAAATATATAATATAGAATGAGGGGGGATTTCCACTACCACATCACTGAAGCATTTAGCAAAATGAGCTGACATTTTGTCCTTACTTCTTAAATGGAAGAAATCTGGAAGAATTTAAGACAATCATTTTGACCACTGGGTGCCACTCTTGTTCTCTGTGAAAACAAACTGCCTCGCCTTAACTCATTTTTTGTTTTGTTTTTTTTTCCCTTTCCCTTGCATACATGTTTTTTGTTTGTGTTCTAAAGTGAAAGACATAAAAATTCTAGAGCAATTTACATAGAACGCTTCTTTTTAAAACACTTTAAGTTGTTTCTAGCCCCAATAATGTAATTTTGTTTGAAGTCCAGAGCACATGGATCCTTACAGAGTATAAAGGGATTGTTTTTATTTATTTTAGTTGCTCATGGGGTTTGTTTTGTTTGTTTGTTTGTTTTTAGGGGGGCAGGAATCTTTATGAAAGGAATAGTTGCTTAGTGCCTAGCCCTGTAACACTTACTGTCATTGCTATTAGCAGGCCACTATTCTGTGCATTTATATACTGTTTTTTAAAAAATCCCTTATCAAACTACATTGCAGACATACTACTGCTTAATACCATTCCTGCATTTCATAGATATGATGAACCTGAGGTACAGACCCATCACGACAGCTAAGAAAACAACATCACAACAAGGAAACAATGAACTGAATACTACCCACTATCTGCCCAAGTGAGTTTTAAAATGGATCAGGTATTTTTCCACTCTATGGTGGCCTTAAAGTACTACAGTCACAGAAACAAACATCAGACAGACCAAAGAATTCTCTGAAGTCGGATAAATGTGTGACTGATTGCATAGATGCACTAAATTACTTACAGTCATAGCCTACCTTCTTAAAGATATTATCATCACAGTTCCTATTCTTACTGAACAAATATTAAAATGCAGACTTTCATGTCATTTATTTATTTAATTTGAATCTATTTAATTTGGATTCAGTCTGGAGAAGAGGAGGCTCAGGGAAGACCTTACTGCTCTCTGTAACTACCTGAAGGGAGGTTACAGTGAGCTGGGGGTCGGCCTCTTCTCTCGTGTAACTGGTGATAGAACTAGAAGGAATGGCTTCAAGCAGTGCCAGAGGAGATTCAGGCTGGACGTTAGGAAACACTACTTTTCAGAAAGAGTGGTCAGGCACTGAAATGGGCTGCCCAGGGAGGTGGTGGAGTCACCGACCCTGGAGGTGTTCAAGGATCGCTTGGACGTCGTGTTGAGGGACATGGTTTAGTGAGAGCTATTGGTGATAGGTGGATGGTTGGATGGGATGATCTTGTAGGTCGTTTCCAACCTTGGTGATTCTGTGGATTTCAATATATCTTGAGAACACTTCATCTGGTACTTGAACAGATGTCCTTTCCCACATTAGTATCAATTCACTGCTCTACAAACCATTTTGATAACATACAAAAATGTTCTCAATAGTCACAATATGACAGTTTTGATGTTACTATGTGAACAAAAAAATGTAATACTAAGAAACAGTAAGATTAACTAAGGAAATTCCTAAAACATAAGCTGTCAAGTTGCAGACTGACAAATGTATATAAGAGGAACTGTTCTCTGTTCCTACATTTAAGCATACATATGAATCTTCTAGATTCAAAGGTAGACTGGGATCTGAGTAAATCTACAGCTTGGAACACATTTTTGTGAGATAATTTTTATATGAGAGATTATTTATAAAATAGCACTTCTTTAACCTTTTTTTTTTTATACTGCATGGAGGGATATTTATACATATGTATACAAAAAGACAAGAAATTTACTAGATAAAAGAGCTTTGATTCAACAGTCTGGGGTAGCAAAGATGGGATTTTCATAGGGGAAATAAGAGGAAACCTGAAACAGATCATGGGTTTCTAACAGTTGCAACAACAGCATATTGATATTCAGAACAGGCAATTATCCAATACCATAAGCAGAATGACAGCATGTGCACAACAGTTAACTTTTCACTCTTTCAAGCAAATATGCCTAAACAATTTCAGGAAGAGGAACCTGAGCAATACCCTTGTAGTTAAGCAGCATTCAATATCTTGAAATTAAAACTTCCCAGCAGTTTCATAGTTTCAAATTCCACCTGAATAAGTCTTAATCTTTCCGCTAACAGAAGCTGCTTTGAGCAGGACGTTGGAACAGACGGCCTCTAAACCTTCCTATCCATAGCAATTACCGTGAAGTTTTATATAATACCTGTATTGAGTCTGACGATTCATAGGATGATCATCTCTTGGCCATCTGTATCCTGACTCATCCTGCAAAACATACAGAGACAAATGTTTGAAGTGCATCTCAGCATCAGCTGTGAAATATATTACCAAATGATACTCATTTACTGCATAAGCAAAGTACTTAATGAGTTAAAAAGACAGTATTCATCATTCACAGAAAGACTTCCTCTTAGTTTATCCATTCCTTCCACCTCCTCTTATTTTCTTCCTCCACCAAAAGGAGTAACTCTGCAATGCTACAGAAAAAAAAAAATTTGTGTGGTATAAAATTTCTAAATCATATAAGTGAGCCCTGGTTTTAAAAAATAAATTTTGTCACTGGAATGTAAATACTTAGAACTAGCTTGAAATTACATAAGTTCGAACAACTGTCTCAGAGAAGTCAGAATTGATGATCTTTTAAGAGTAACTACTGGTAAAAAAAAAAAAAGAAAGAAAGAAACAGAACACTCAGCATCACTACAGAATTTAAACAAGTGAACAACTTTGCAAATAAGGAGGCTGGGTAGGTAACATTCTGTAAGTCGTATGTGCAAGGATATTATACACAACAAAGATCTTTGCAATCACTCCTCCAGATAACTTTGCACTGCACTGCAGAGGACTTCTGCCTATGTCTGTTGTCCCACGTCAGACTCTGAGCTCACCACAGACCAGAACAACGACTCTTTGCCAAGCCTGTACAGCAGTCAGGAACAATGAAAGGTAGCATATGTGTATCACCATATCATCACGAGTCTCAGAGGCACAGTAACTGCACAAAAGCACCAAGTAGTATAACCTAGGTATTTTTTTCTTCTGTGTTTCAGTTTATGAGAAGAACAGTAGAAATAACAACACTCTGCCTGAAAAAAATATTTTAATCATTCAGCGTTCAAGCATTAATTCAGTGACAAACACCATAATCACGAGAAAAATCACCTTATGTACACCTCGATGTGGTGGGCCACTTCTTCGCTCATGGGCAAAACCACGACCCTCCTCATAGTCTCTGTACTCAGCGTGGCTGTAATCATCATAGCGACTGTAACTCCCTTCTCCAGGTCTATCAAGAAGTGGCGGTTTCTTGGGCATGATGTTTACAATTCTATGGTACTCATCCTAAACCACAAAACAAATAAAAGCATACTTCTCTAAGCATCTGGAAATGTATAGTGAATATACAAGTAAAAACGTTATTTCTACATAGTGGATTGTAATAATTTCAAAGCTAAAATAAGCACAGAAGAATATCAAGGATCACTGAAAGATAGAAAACATAGAATCATAGAATGGCCTGGGTTGAAAAGGACCACAACGATCATCTAGTTTCGACCCCCCTGCTATGTGCAGGTCGCCAACCACCAGACCAGGCTGCCCAGAGCCACATCCAGCCTGGCCTTGAATGCCTCCAGGGATGGGGCATCCACAGCCTCCTTGGGCAACCTGTTCCAGTGCAGCACCACCCTCTCTGTGAAAAACTTCCTCATAATATCTAACCTAAATCTCTCCTGTCTTAGTTTAAAACCATTCCACCTTGTCCTATCACTATCCACCCTTGTAAACAGCCATTCCCCCTCCTGTTTATACTCTCCCTTCAAGTACTGGAAGGCCACAATGAGGTCTCCTCAGAATCTTCTCCAAGCTAAACAAGCCCAGATCCCTCAACCTTCTCTCATAGCAGAGGTGCTCCAGCCCTCTGATCATCTCAGTGCCCTCCTCTGGACCCGCTCCAACAGCTCCAGGCCTGGACGCAGCACTGCAGATGGAGCCTCACAAGAGCTGAGTAGAGGGGGTCAATCACCTCCCTGTCCCTGCTGGCCACCTATTCTTTAATGCAGCCCAGAACACAGATCATCAGATCATGCCAAATGGACGGTGGAATAAGTTGTCATTTGGACACCATTCAGATGCAATCCTTAAGTACTGCAAGCTTAACCACAAAGGGAAAGTTCTCAACACAGTTTACCGTGAATTTTTAAAGTAGTCAACTAAATTTTCTACGCATTTACTGTACATATTTCTCCAACTTCTACATTAAAGTCACATCTGTCATGCCTTTAAAACAGAGCCTATCTGAAAACAATTAATTTCCTTAACATCAATAACATTTTCTACACCATAGAAATGATAGTGAAGACTGCCCTTGTTTCATGATTTCATTAGATAAGCATCCTCTCACCATAACACAGTGTGAGACCCAATGATTCAAGTGACAGACAGTTTTTATCACTCAGATTTATTCTCAAACAGGTTTTGGATAGCTTTTTGCTAGAAATCAATGCATTACATTTTCAAGTACAGTATCATACACCATTTACCAATTAAATAGATTTTTTGCTTATTAAGGTGAAATTGCACAATTACAAAAGATTCAAATTCAATTCTCTAGAACTGAGTATTATGTAAAGCCACTGCAGATAAAAAGCAAATGGAGACATGAATTGAAGACTTTGTCTTTTGAATCTTTGTCCTTTAGCAAGTCATCTTTTCCATGGGCTTAGAAACAAGTTACAAATGCAGACTTAATGTACGGGTGCAACTGAGAGGGAGGGGAAAGAGACCCAAACTGCTTTTTTTTCCTAACAGTGTTAAGTCACAAGATAATGAATGCACCAATAGTTTTGGCAGAAAAATACATTCAGTTCACAAATTACAAAACATGATCATGAAAAAAAACAAACAAAAAACAACAACAATATTGTTCTGATTTCAGAGAGATTCAGAGAGAAGCAACAGATTCACTAGAGGGCAACCCAAAACCAGCTTACTACCATAGTGATGCAAATTATTACACACTATACACACATTACCATGCAGCCACAATGCTTGATCTACCATTACCTCATTGGCAAACTTCACGTACATTTTTTCAGAGGAGATATGCTCTGAAGCTAAGATAGAACTGTTCTGTGCTTTTATCTCCTACAGTAGTCCCCATCACAGCAGGACAGTTACCTAAGAGCTCAAGACATACTAGATTTTGTGATGTGCTCCTAACTTTTTGCTGTTAACCAGCCTCTGAAAGCATGTGTTCCTACAGCAATCCAAACTTGTGTAAGTAACATCCACGTTTGGATTAGGACAGTCTCTTCCTCTCTCAAGCAAGTGAGATTTCTTTCCTTATCAGTGGCACGTCCCAGATCCAATACCTAACCCATGAGCAAATGCTAAGAGTTTTCATATGGTTGAGAAATAATAATGTAATTCCACTTTACTTGCCTAGCAAGAATTAGGTCAGACCTCTGCATGTGAACGCAGATAAAATGGTATAGCCTTGCATGGACAGAAACTGCCTGCTCGTTCTCTCGAACCAGCAGATCTGTACAAGAAGGAGCTTTTTATCTATCTTCCACTAAGAAAATGATTCAGATCTTGCTTTGCCTAACATGCTATGGGGCAGCTTCTCATAAAGGCCAACTCCTCAAGCGCCCCGCTACAAAAACCTCACCACATAAGCCATGTAAGCAAAAGAATGCATCTTATTTTTTTAAACTTTTAAAGTAAAATTCCATAATATATACTTCCTATAGAGGTCCCTGTAGAGCTCAAAAGACTAGAAAAATTCAGGAATGTCGCTGCCACAACAGTTAGCAATTAGCTATTCATTACAAAAGCCAGATATCAATTAATTAAAAAAAAAGCAAAAGCAAGTACAAACAAAACAAAGTGTGAAGACACATTCTGGCTTTTCTTGTATTTCACTGCTGATACATATACTGGAGAAGAAACTGATTAACCAACATAAGCAAACACAACCTGATTTCCAGCTTGCTGAAAAAGTACATATGTTGTCGTGTTGTCTGTAAAAAGCATTAAAACCATCACAGAGTAGCCAACCCCTAGTGCATTATTTGACCAAAAAGACTACATACGTAGTTATGCTACAGTAGTATGCTTCTAGAAAAGAAGCTGAAAACATGAGAGAGAACCCAGAAGTATGTTAGTATGTAAGTATCATAACAGAAAACTACACAGGTGACAAGAACAATACTGAAAGTAGTCATTTTACCACCTCTGACGTGGTTTGAGATGTATGAACATGAGAGAAAATTCCTGGGGAAAAGACAATACAGTGGGACCTCTGATTCTCCACAAATTATTTTAAAAAGAACATGTTTAATTACTGAAAAATCCCTTCAGCCAGTCAGCTGTCCTCATTCTGTTCCTCCCAGCTCCTTGGGCCCTTCACACAGAATCACAGAATGGCGTGGGTTGGAAGGGACCTCAAGGATCATGAATCTCCAACCCCTCCCCACCACAGGCAGGGCCACAATCTCCACATTTAACACTAGAACAGGTTTCACTGTGGCCTTGACGGCACCTGTATAGATTGGAGCATTATCAACTTTGTTTTTCTTCTAGAACTAAACCATAGCATCATACCTGACACTCTGAAGAAAACAATACTGCCCCACTGAAACTAAGACAAAGAAGAAGATGTAAAAGCAGGAGTGTCCAACCCGTGCATGCCACCCTGGACAGACAGTTAGTAATGCAGCCCTACAGGATCATTAACTTTTCATATTGCTAAAAATCACACAGTACTGTGTTTCATTAGTCAGTTGCAAAACACACAGGCAACAGCAGAATACCAGGGAGGGCACAGTGCATTGCTTGCACCCATCACACACACACACACACACTCAAACTGAAACCCATTATAAAGAAACAATGACATGTTATAATGTCATCAAAGCAGTGAATTTCATAAAGCCCAAGGCATTGACTCATCTCCAGTTCCAGGACTTCCTTAAAAGTATGGATGTCAATTATGGGGGCATTGTTGTTTTTTTCCTTACTTTCTGAAATAAGGTGGTTAAGTTGGGCTAAAACGCTAGAAGTTTTTACAATTTGTAAAATAAGATTAAGTCATTTGTGGAGTTAGAAGGAAAACTGGTGTCAGAATATGAAGATGCAAAATGGCTACAGAATAACATTCTGGGTGGAACTGACTGCTCATTTAAATGAATTAAACACACATCTTTTGAGATCAAAATCAACTATCTGCACTGCATTTCAAATCATAACAGCATTAAAAATGAAACAAATTATAGCAAGCTCAAGTTATGGCAAATAATTTTATGCATTTTGATACAATGGCTAAACACAGTCCTGTGAACAGTGGAAAATATGCAGCTGTGCTCTGCATTTTGATCAAGGAAATTGAGAATGGATTTCAAGATTTTTGAAACGTATTTTTTTAATATTTGGGACTTCATTTTCATCATAAGTACACCTCCTGTAAATTTTCTAATGTAAAGTATAAAGTTGTAATCAGATGCACAACTCAAAGAAACACTTGATCACTCCTCTTTACCAGACTTTCTTAAGATATATCAGAGAAAAGCGTCCCTCACTTCACAATCACACCTTATTCATGTCATCACTTTTTGGCAGCACGTACATTTGTGAACAACTATTTTCAAGGAGGAACAACTGGAAGAGTAAAATTAGAACAATCATCTCTTATGAACACCTTGAGAGTTCATTAAGAATTGCAACCACTGCCATCAAACCAAAAACTGATGCATTAGTTTCACAAAAACAAAGTCCAACGTCGCACCAGTTTTATGTTTTTGTTGCCTTCCTTAGAATTATCTGTTTTGTATATAAATATAAAATATAAAATAAAAATTATTTTAATTATAAAAACCTTAAATATTAACTATCACATTATTTATTTTATATACCGCCCAAGGGAATTTCTTTTTCACTAAGCGTGGACCAGGTGAGCCAAAAGGTTGGACAACCATGATGTAAAGGTTTAACAGGAACTTCAGAACTGACAAAAATCCTGCTCTTCTGGAACAGGTCACAGTATGAAGGTGCAGTAGAGTGGTATAACACTAAAGAAACGAAGTACAGACATACATCAGGATGAAACCTTGGAGGAAGGCGTTCTCTTGGAAGTCTTTCATAGTCATATCGTCCTTCAGACCACATTTCATCTCTCCGATATGCCACTGATGACAATAAAAAACCAATGAGTCAAAACCAGACTTGTCATGAATAGATGAGAGGATACTAAGCATAGAAACAAAGGTTCTTGGGCTTCTCCCAAGGTAATATATTACGCATAAGCTCTGTACGCTATTTGTTTTTAAATGAGGTCCTTATAAATCTGTCTAGTTATATAAACTAATTAATGAGTAAGTAATTTAAGGCAAAAGCACTAGAAATAAAATTTCTGATAACAGTGTTGTTCAAAACTTCTTCAGTACCAACAACCACCAGTGTGAACTTCCTCTAAGTGATGACAGATGTAGTTTAAAATAGTCAGAATTTGTAGTCATGAAAACAACATCTGCATTCTCCATCACAAAATATAAGCTGGAGCACTGATAGTTTACACAGCCTGAAAATGGGTTTAAATAAAGCTGAGATCTGTGGCAAACTCATACTTAAGTTTATACAGAGTTCTGTTACTCGCTTTTAAAAAAAATAATTGACACTATGTGTAAGAACTGGATATTAGTGCAGTATAATCAGAATAAATCCAAGATCTACAGATACTGTAAACAGTCCTAGTGACATCTGTACACACTATTATCAATTGTAGAAATACACAAAATCCTTACAGCAATTTTGTTATCGCTGTTTTTTAAAGAAACTTTTTTTTTTTTTTAAATGAATTTCACTCATCTTTATTAGATTGAAGAATTCATGCTTTCTTATGTAAAACTTTTATTTTATCATCTTGGCCTTTTGGAAACAGGATAAGGCACAACACAATCAGTTACCAGTTAGTAATCAGTTAACACAAAACTCTGTTCTGAAAACATGAATTAAATGCATTCTTCACATGAAGACTTTGTGTTTTAAACTGTGAGTCAGCAGATCATGGAGATTCCTCTTTCAAAAAAATAGTGACTTCCGAAATCAAAATTAATAAATTAATAACAGGTGAAAATAAACCAATACTTTAAATGATTCTAGTCATGCTGTATTAGACAGCACAAATTCAAGGAGCTGAATGATGATCATATAGGCAAAAAAGTGTAAAACACACATGGCTGAAAATCATTACGAAACTGCTAGAATTACATTTCTCAATGTTTCCTTTCACAATAGGTTCTAGCAATTAAGAATATTCTACAAGAAGAAGAAATAGCAGGATATTTTCAGGAGAGATTAACATTAGCTATTTTTCTTTTCTGAAAGTAGGTACCTGGAGATAGATTTATGAGGCTATACAAAAATGACAATTATCCGAGTTGTCAAGAATCAACAAGATAAGGGATTTATCAACTCTAATCAGAGGTAGCACCACATCAGCTATATATTCTTATGAATAACAGCAATCACCAGCATACTCACTTTTCTGTTAGTCTTAGAGACTTTGCCTCTGAAGACCCATTACCTGGGGGAAAAAAAAAAAGCAACTGAAATTAGTGAAAAAATGCATATAATCTCATAAATTAATTTTCTGTAAGTAAACCAAACATTTGAAATCAAATCCCTTTGCTGCCCATCCCTGTTACTCTGTTTGGGTGAGTACAGGGTAATTCACTACACTCGGTTTAGAAAGAATATGAATGTCAGCTAAATTCAGAATACCAAAAACCTATATATGAAAAAATATTGTAGGTATATTTTCTGAAACAAAAAATAGTAATACTCAGAGCATTGTTTTCCTATTATGACCTTTTTCCAGGTAGCAGTCACCCACACTCATGTGCAGGACCATTACAGACTATAAGATAACACAGCCCACACTTCCATTTCTATCACTGTTTTAGAAAAATACTGAAACTTGCAAGAATTATTAGTATTTGGACACCCCAAAAATAGAAAAAAGGTAGAACATAGTATGACAAACACCAACGGACTGAAGGAAAAAAATATTCACAATTTTATAGAGAAGAAGAAAGAATGGAAAGGTAAAGAGGGATGAAAAAAAAATCTCGTGAGAAGATTTTCAATTAGGAAGAAAATGGTGACAATTGATAAGACAACCAATTATCAAGTATGTTGTCCAAAACACTGGCAAGAAAAAAGGGGGAAAAAAAACGTTTATATAGAGGACTAAATGGACAGTTTTTAGATGGAACCAATGAAAGTGAGGATGTTACCCAAAATACAATAATCATATATATATATATATACACACGCACATACATATACTTAAAGGGAGAAAAGCACATTTCTCAGCATTCTGAACACACCTCATCTGTTTCTATAGTAAAAATTTCTTAAACAATGTGACCTAATCAGAATACAGCTTTAATAATATTGATGACATGCCAAAACATTTCCAATCAATTTGAGAAGATTCCATTAACAAGGTTTCACGGTAGCAAACCTCAAGCTTTCTGCACTACATTACCTGTTCTCTCAGGACAATCTTGTTTCAAAACAAAGATCAGAAACAAATACTTATTTTTGTTTCATGCCTTAATTTCCCTGTGACTAACATCATCTTCTATTAGCACATACATCAAAGACAATTGATTTTTCTTCACTATCATGAAATGTAATGACCTGCAATATGAATTTAAACCACTTTCTCCTTGTTCTTGGTCAAAGGTGACTGTTTTTGCTATAGCAAGTTCTTTATGTTCTCAAAAGCTGCTACACCATTGTACACAGAAGCCGTTGTATGGATGCAGCACAGGCTGCTCTGTGGCGGCCTGCTGCCAAGGTTGGCTTGGCTCCACTTGTCACAGAGCTGCATCTTGCTATGCACTGCTGTAGCAGAGCTAACACTAAAAGGTTTTCTTCATCATGAAGATTACACAGGTTACTTAAACGTCAAATTTCTACACAAGTGAGTTTTCTTCATCGATCAACAGTTAATTATTCTTTCCTTCCCAAGGAACATTAACAAGCTAAAAAAAAGCTGATGTTTGTGAAAACATCCCATTACTCTGCAATGTTTTGCACATCATTCTTGTCTGTTTACACTTTCTTGAGACATCGATTTTAATCACTGCTATAAATATCAACTTCACCAGGGTTTGGAATATTTCAGTGTATGCTATCAACCTTCTTCAGAATCCATATTGTTGCTCCAAAAACATGCAGCTTTATACCCCAGATGGCTAATTCTTGCCATACCAAGACCATGCTCCAAATCCAGAGGCAAGGCGGCTGTATTGTTCTTGCTGCTACTGGAACACATCTGGCTTTGTACTGTTACTGTGACAATTGTAACAACTGCTAATGTGACAAAAACTCTGACAATTGACAAACATGGACTAATCTTGTCCCTCCTATGTTTTGGAAAGTCCTCAAAAAAAAAAATAAAAAAAAAAAAAATACATGATCCTGTATAAGTAAGACATAAGAAAGATGCTGAAGACTCTGTTCTTCTCATGGCCAATTTCACAACAGCCACCTATTGTTTATTTGAGGATAGACACACTGAAAATGCAACTTCTTCTTGCAGCAGTGAGAATCAGAGAATGGTTTGGGTTGCAAGGGACACTTAAAACCACCTAGTTCCGACTCCCCTGCTATAGGCAGGGACACCTCCCACTAGACCAGGTTGCTCAAAGCTCCATCTAGCCTGGCCTTGAGTGCCTCCAGAGAGGGGGCATCCACAGCCTCACTGGACAGACAACCTGTTCCAGTGTCTCACCACCCTCACAGTAAAGAGCTTTTTTCTAATATCTAGTCTAAATCTACCTTCTTCCAGTTTGAAGCCACTTCCCCTCCTCCTGACGCTACCTGCCCTTATGAAAAGTCCATTCCCAGCTCTCTTGTAGCTCCCCTTCAGGTACTGGAAGGCTGCTATAAGGTCTCCCCGGAGCCTTCTCCACTCTGAAGAGCCCCAACTCCTTAGCCTTTCCTCGTAGGAGAGGTGCTTCAACCCTCTGATTATCTTCACGGCCCTCCTCTGGACCTGCTACAACAAATCCATGAATGCAGATTTGATAATTCTTCAAATATACTCTGGCATTCCTAGTTAGACAAGAAGCAAAATGGATAAACTGGAGTTTGGGACAGGCTGAGAACACTGAGCAGACACAGTTCTCCATTATAACTCAAAGCATCAGAACTATGAGAGAAAAGTTTTTATTAAAAAAAAAAAAAAAAAAAAAAAAAAAACTAGAACAGAAATGCAGAGAGAATCCATCTCTTCCTAATAGGAATGGAGAGAATGCTTTGGGAGCTAATATTAACATTAATCTTTACATCTTTCTGTGAACACCCACAGTTACCAATACCCCATCCTTCCTCACTATCAACGCCATGAAAA